GTCCCTCGCTCAGCCCCTCGCCCCCCATGACATACACGCTCATGTTCTTGCCCTCACTCCCGCCCGGCCAGCCCGTGACGGCGGTCTGGAACAGCCGTCGTCCCCTCCACGGCGCGCGGCGGCTCAGCAGCTCCCAGTCGATGCCGTTGGTTGACCGCCACACGTCGTGCTGGATGCCCTTGGCCGTCTGGCCACCCAGCAGGAGAAAAGTCGCGTTCGTGGAGTTCTCGGGGCCCGGGATGACGACCAGCTGGTGGCCTTCGCGTGGCTCCCACGGCGCATCGTCGACCAGTGTGCGCCAGGTGGTGCCGTCGCGGCTCACCAGGACGTCATTCAGGTAGCGAGAAGGGGGGTCGCCTTCGATGCCCGAGATGTCCAAACCACCTGCCACACAACACAGAAGGGAGGAATTGAGTGATGGCCCACGTCTGTCTGTCTCCCTGAGAGCATCGCACACCTGTGACAAGGAACCTGAAGGGCGCGTCCGCACTTGGGTGGACTGCCGCACCAAAAAAGGATCTGCGAGTGAGTTTGGTCTCGTTCTTCTGCGGCGCCAGCTTCCATCTGCGGGGCCCGACGCCATTGGTGGTCATCCACACGTCGTCGAGGCTGGTGTCGTGGTAGATGAGCGAGCCGCCCATGACCACGACGGCACGCGACGCACTCAGGGCGCTGAGGCCGTACCGCGGCGTGAAGTCGGGCGGCGGCAGCTGCTCGAAGGATGTGTTCTTGATGGTGAGGGTGGGCACTGTGGTGATGTTCTGCTGGAGCCGCCGACCTTTGGTTGCGATGGCAGCCGCCGTGTCCTGTCGACACTCGGCTGTATGCATATGTAGGTGTGAAGGGCCGCACGCGGATTGCACGGCTGCGGCCGGTGACTCCCGAGTGACGAGGGAAGACGGAGACATTGACAAGTTATGAAGACCACCTGAACAAGGCATGCACACAATCACAAACACCGAGATATATCATGCGTCGGCTCCACTTGCATGTGAGTGGCCCCTCGCCTCCCAAATCGGTCCCTCACTCACTCACCGTTGGGCCACGACCACAAAATCACACACAGGCCTCCAGCAAAAAGAAGCAGGGCCACCATAAATGTGAGAGAAAAGCTGAAAAAGGAGTCGTCAGGCGGCGATGTGACCGCCACCTTGATCGTTCCCCCCAGATCTGCCGGCTCATGCGTGACGTCATGCTCGGCGCCTTCGTCCTGCTGCCCCTCCGGGTGCTCGCAGGTCTGAGTGCTGCCCGAGTGCTCGCTTGGGCCGCTCTGCCTCCCCATGGTGTGGACGAACGGATCTCCCTTGTGATCACCCATGGGTGCCGACTTCTTTCTGAGCTTGTTGGCTACTCGTCTTTTGACGTTCTTGGCCTTGGTCCACAGGCGGGAAAACCATCTTGGGTGCCGGGAGGGGCGATCGCTCGATGAAGCCTCATGAGGGAGAGGGCCAGTTTCTGCTTTGCTGTCATCCATGAACGTTGCTCACCCAGCCGCGTTTCCAAAAAGGGAGGGTCGGATCAATGCGAGCTCCGGCTGTTCCCGAGCTCGCAGACGTGGAGGTGAAGGCGCTGCTGGACAGAAGAAGGCGACGACCTCATGCATCCGATGCGATGCTACTGGCGGCAATGATGAGGAGGAGAGATGACGCAATGATGATGAGGAGAGAGAGGAGAGGATCTGCCCGGATCCGCTGGCTGGTGATCTGCCTGCTCGCATCACTGTCGATACAGAGGCATTCATCTGCCTTCCTCACGCCATTCCGTTCTGCCTCCTTCCGCCATGGGTCGCTGCACCCCTTGCATGCACTCAAGAGCCCGACGCGCCCTTCAGAACGGCCATCTCCATCGGGCCTGCTGTCCACGGCATCTCGATGGTTCAAGCGGGGCGGCGTCTTCGAGAAGATCGAGGACCTGGCCTCTCATCTCCATTACTCCCAGTTCGACATTCGCAAGGCTGTTCTACTAGCGGGCTTCTCGTTTCAGGCGTACAACGAGCCAAGGGCAGGTGACTGACTGCACCCACACACAAGACCGGATGCATGGCGATGTGATGAGTGGCTGTGTTGGTTTGGTTGGCTGGTTCTTTCAGGCAAGTGGGAGCGGTCTGCGAATGGCAACGACGTGGCTTTTCAGTCGGCTGACTTCATTCGTCAGGTCTTCGACGGTATGTGTGCGTAGCTGTGAGTATTTCAAGGAGAGGGGTACAAGGTGCCTGCTGCGGGTGGTGGAACACACGTGTCCACGGGCAACCTGCCTGTCTGCCTTGGTGCCTCGTCCATTAGGCCTGTTGCTGGTGACTGTTCTGGAGGCATCTGACCTCGTCCGTGAGGACTCGTTCTTAGAGGCGGCCCTGACCGGATTCGAAAGCGACCCGTACGTCGTGGTCTCGCTCGCCGATGCCTCAGGTAGAAGAAACACATGAAGACGACACACACGGCCACCTATCTGTCTGTCTGTCTGTCTGTTTCAGGCACGCGGGGCGTTGTCGATAGGACCAGGACGGTCAAGAGCAGCTCTAATCCCAAGTGGCAGCAGACGCTGTCCCTCTACACCAGAGGCCTGGATGGAGGAGTCCTCAACCTCAGAGTCCTCGATGAGGTGAGTGGGGCATGGGTGCCGGATGCGACACACACATACAAGAATGCATTCAGAAGTGCATCCGTGTTGCCTGCTGGCTCACCAGGAGTTGTTTTCGAATGACGACGAACTCGGTGTCGTGACCATCGATGTCGATGAGATACGAGCAAATGCCACTCTCTTGGACGAAGAGGGACACGACGCAGGTGGCCAGACACCCCCACTCACGAGTAAACCAGCACACCAGCCTCTCTCATCTCTCATCTGCTCTGCCGTTTCCTTTTTCCCAAACAGATGGCGGCGGTCGGTTCGTGTGGCAGGGGTGGCTCCCTCTCCAGAAGTCCGCCCCAGACAGAACAGAAGACGTCCGCAAGCGATGCAAACGCGGCCAAGGCGACCATGCCGTCGACGAGCGGCCCAATGGCCGCGCCGCCCGACATCTATCGGCAGGTGACGCGGGCAAAATCAACGTGATCGTTCAGTACGTCCCCTTCGAAAGAGATGATGACGCCGAGAGCCCAGAAGAGGGAAGCCCGTCAACACCGCCCTCCTACGACGAGGCCGAGGCCATCCCCCCAATGGATGAGTCCGACATGGCCGCGCGTGCGAAAGAGGCCGCGAGCGTGTTGGAAAAGGCGGGGGAGGGGGGCCCGGCGGGCTTCGGCTGCTCAGCCGACTGGAGCGCGCTGGCTCGTCAGGTGTGGGGCTTGGAGCCGTGGGCATCGGACTTCGAGTTCATCTGTTTCCTGCAGAACGTCTTCACCTGCACACAAGTGGGCCTCTGGCGCGACAACAGGAGGAAGCGGCTTGTGGTGGCCTTCCGCGGCACCGAGATGACGTCATGGCGAGACTTCCTGACCGACATCACCCTAGTCCAGGAGCCTCTCCAGCTAGATGAGCCACCCAAAGCGGCCATGGCGGATGAGGCGCAAGAGATGGGGACGAGGGCCGAAGAGGATAGCCCGGCTGAGGCGCAGCGGTCCTTTCCGTGGCTTGCGATGAGCGGCAAGACAGAGAGGGAGGACTACACGCTAGTCGACAGGCAGTGGGACCCTGTCAAGTGGCTGTCGGGTGTGCTCAAGCCCCCAGCCCCCGACACACCCACGACACAGGAGGAAAGGTCCACCGCAGCCCCGTCTTCCGCCGCCCCGGAAGACGCGACATGGCAGCCTCTGAAGGCCCTCTCGGAGATGAGCCAGTCGCTGCTCAAGAGCCGCCTTCAGGAGATCGGCGAAGGCAAGGAGAAGAAGCTCTCCCTCGACGAGTCCTTCCAGCTGATATCGCTGTCCAGCCCCTTCTCAATTATGTCGTCCTTCAGCAACCACACCGACCCCTCATTGGACTCAGATCAGCAGGCCGGTGGAGAGCACCGCATCAACCCTCTGCTTGTGGGAAAGCAGTTCCGCGAACTCAACGCTACCCAAGTGCTGGATATGGCATCGAAGCGGGCACAGGCGTTCCAGCGGCTCATCTCACAGGCGACGACGCGTCAACCTCCATCGCCCATCGGTGCCGACTCGACCCCCCAGCTGGCGCCCAACATCACTCTGCCCGAAGCCATGTTCATCGCCACCACACAAGAGGAAGAGCCCATGCAGCAGAGGGGGAGAGGGAGAGAAGAGGGGGGCCTCTTCGCTCTCCCGTCCCTGTCTTTGCCCCTGCCGTCGCTGCCCAACGTGACCTTTGCGAGTCTGCCGCTGCAGAACTTGAGGCTGCCGCGTGAGCTGGAGCTGGACCCCGAGTTGCTGGCCTTGGCCAGCAGGGTGTCCAAGGGTGAGGTGCAGGTCGACTGGGACACCATCGACGCGTCGCTCTACAACCTGACGGCACAGCTGCAGTTCCGCATGCCCGAGGTCTTCGCCGTGCAGTTGGGAGGCAACAACAGCGACCCGCGGGTGCATGCTGGTCGGTCCGCAAGGAGCACACACGGACGGCGACCATGTCGATGAACGTCTGTGGGCCCTCCTGTGCGCGTGCAGGTTTTCACCAGGCATATTTGTCGATCCGTTCCCGTCTGCATGAGCTGATCCACGAGGCGACGGGCGGCCAGGCGGGGGAGTGGGAGGTGCTCGTGACGGGCCACAGCCTGGGAGGGGCGCTGGCCACTTTGTGTGCATATGACATGGCCACACACGGGCCTGTGAGTCGGGGGGAGGCCAGGGGCCCGCCCGGCAAGGTGCTGCTGTACAATTACGGGGCCCCGCGGGTGGGCAACGGGGCATTTGTGGAGAAATTCAACGCAAAGTGGGTGTGGAGAGAGGGCCAGATGGGATTGTCCCAGTATATATTCTGCGTTTGCCCTGTTCCTCCCTCCACATAGGATCGGCGACGCATTTCGTGTGGTCAACAGTCGTGATGTGATAGCCCGGCTGCCGCGAGGCGCCACGGCCTGGTGAGCCGAGCTGCCCGCTCCCTCTTTCAATCCTCCCGGACTTCACGCACTACATGGTCTCTTGTGTGTTCCTGTCTGCGTGTCTATCTGCGCGCCTTCCTTTAGGATTCTGGACTATGAGCACGTGGGCCGTACGGTGTTGGTTGACGAGGCGGGTCAGACCAATCTGTGGATAGAGGGGGAGACGGAGGGGCCCAACCCGCTGCAGGAGGCCAACCCCTGGGGCAAAGACGAAAACGGAACGGTAAGTGGAGTGGAGTGGGCGGTAGGTCGTTCATTCATCCCGTCTCTTTGATGACCTTGTGTGGATGCCTGGCCTGCGTGGCTGGCTGTGTGGCTGCGCTGCGTGCAGCTGGTGTTTCTGGGTCGTTCGGTGGAGCTGCCTCGGCTGACGGAGGAGTTCATCGACAGGGAAGTGGCCATGCTCAACACTATCACTAACGGAGAGGTCAGGCGGGGCGTAGCACAGCACCGTATTGCATCTCGGTGTCTGTCTGAAGCAATGTTTGTGTGGTGTGCACACAACACATACCCACAGGCGCTGTCTCACCACTTTGAGGACCAGTATCACGCAGCCATGACTGTAGCGGTGGCGCAGTCACTCAGAGAGGGACGGGGTGCGGGAGGAAGCTCAAGGGCATAGCCATAGCATGGCGACGTGTCTGTTCGTCCCTGACAGAGAGAACGGCGAGTGGGTGGCACCGGTAACCCATGAAAGAGAGAGGCATAGGGCAGTTTTTGCGGTTTTGTCGTCGTGTGCTTCCAACGAACTGTGTGGCAAGCAGGCAGACTTTATGCGTTTTGTCGTGATGTGACACTTTGAGGTGAGGACACATACCATGCATGCCTTGGACACACTTCTGTCAGTGTCTCCCTGCCCACCGAGCATGAATGCACCGCGGCTGTCCCGACTTCTCGAGTACTTGTCCGCTGCCACCTGGAGACGCTGAGGTCAACACGAGAGACATCTCTGTTGGCCCCGCCATCCCAACACGGCAAGCGACAAGCACAAGGAGCCGAGCGCACGCCCGAACTGTACTTATGCCGAAAAAGTCAGCCCCGACCACACGACACACACCGCGTCACACCCCACCAGACACCCCCCTTCGTCGACCCTCACGCACCTTGACATATGTACACGGCAAAAAGGCTGCCTTCCTTTGCCCTCCATCCCCACCGACTCGACAGCACATGAAGAGAAGATCAACACAACACAACACACCGACCCCAAAAAATCCACGACAACACATGCGCAGCGCATGGACTGTCCTGTCCAGTCCACACACGTGTGTGACAGAGAGACCGCGTTGCGTTGGAGCGTGCAGACATTCCTTTGGATCATGTCCACACCATCGCCGTCTTCTCACCGCCCTCCTTCTCCTGAGGCAAAGACGATCGACAAAACAAACAGCAGCCACATGTGGTTGGTGGTCTTGCTACTGACTGCACCGATTGACTGACTGACCTCCTGTGCGAGCTCCCACAGTGGCGACATTTCCCTGAGCCTTCGGACCTCCTGCACCACCACCTTGACGCACTCGTCCACCTCCTCGTCGGTCGTGAACCGACCGATGCCGAACCGAATCGACGTGTGCGCCAACTCCTCATCCACACCTGCCCATGCCATGACACACACACCCACAAGCAAAACTTGTGTGTGTGTCGCGAGAGGGCGGGGGGAAGGGCACTCACTCACCGATGGCTCTGAGCACGTAAGACGGTTCGAGAGATGCAGAGGTGCAGGCGGATCCGCTGCTCACGGCGACGCCCCGGAGGGACATGAGGAGCGACTCGCCCTCCACATACGCAAACGACAGGTTCATATTGCCGTGGTAACGATGCAGCTGCACAGCAAAGCACACCCACACACAAACGGATCTCTCTCTGTCTGCCTGGCCCCATTGTGTGTGTGTATGTTCGTTCGGTCGGGGACCTTGGAGCCGTTGAGAGTGACGTCGGGCAGTGCCTTGATGATGCCGTCCTCCATTCTCTTGGCGAGCCTCTCGACGTGCCGTCTGTCGTTGTCCATCTCCTCCTTGGCCACCTGACAGGCCTTGCCGAAGCCCACTATAATGGGCGCTGGCAGGGTGCCGCTGCGCATGCCCCGCTCCTGCCCGCCGCCGTCTATTACAGGCACCAGACGCACACGCGGCTTGCTGCGCACGTAGATCGCACCTGGTGGACACACAGATTAGATTCACACACAGACACAGACGGAGAGAGGGAGGGATCGGTGAGTCAGAGCGGTGGGGGCGTCGGTAGTGTGGGCAGTGTGGGTATGCGTACCGACTCCCTTGGGTCCGTAGATCTTGTGTGCGGAGAGGGACATCAAGTCGATGTTCATCTCGTCAACGTCGATCGGGATCTTGCCTGTCAGGTAATGTCAGGTCAGCCACACAGAAAGGGAAGGGAAGAGGCTCAGCTTCACGAATAATGCAACGCACACGCGTGTGTGTGTATAGGGGGTCTGCAGGGGGAGGGCTGGGTTGCTGACTGACCGTGGGCCTGGGCTGCGTCAGTGTGGAAGAAGATCTTCTTCTTGCGGCAGAGGTCGCCGATCCCCTTGACGGGCTGCACCACGCCGATCTCATTGTTGACCATCATGACGCTCACCAAGGCGGTATCGTCCCGGATGGCGCCCTCCAACTCAGACAAACTTATCAGACCTGCACGCGACGCAACGCAACGCAACGCACCGCAGGACACGACAAGACACACACATGAATGACATGCGGATGTCTGCCTGTGTGTCATGTGGTGTGGTGTGGTGTGTGTGGAGTACCTACCGTCTTGGTCGACAGGGAGGTAGGTGACGTCCCAGCCTTTCTCTTGCAGAGACCGACACGACGACAATACACACTTGTGCTCCTGCGTATGCCGCACGCACACACGCACACACACGCACCACAGCAGATCGGTTTGCTGACATTGCCAGCTTCTCGTTTCTCTCTTTGTCTGGTCAGGTACGATTTGTGTGGTGATGATGTGTTTCTTCTTGTTGCCGTAGTAGGCGGCCACGCCTTTGATGGCCAAGTTGTTGCTCTCGGTGGCCCCGCTCGTAAACAAAATCTCCTTGGACTTGGCGCCTATCAAATCAGCCACTTGCTGCACCCAACCAAACCACACACACACACACACACACACATACAGAGCGGTGCAATACAAGCAGACGGACATGGCCAGACCGACACGTTGTATGGGCACCTCTCTGGCCTTCTCGACGAGGTCCTCCGCCTCCCAGCCAAACACGTGGCTGCGGCTGTGGGGGTTCCCATACATCTGGGTGTAGAGTGGCATCATGGCGTCCACCACCCTGGGGTCGATGGGCGTGGTGCTCTGGTAGTCCATGAAGGCGGGGCGCTTCTCGGGGGTCAAGGGGGTGGCGCGCTGAGAGGGGGGAGGGTTGACTTCAAGCGTGGCGCCGCCGTCACCCACCACCTCGCCGTTGATGGCCGCCTGGCTATGCAGCGAACCTGACTCACACCATTCACCCCACCCAAACACAATCACAACACAGCACAGCACAGCACACGAAGGGAGGGCAAGATGTATGAGCCGGCCATGTGCGTGTGGTTGAGGCGTGCGTGATGTCTGTCTTGTGTCTGTCTTGTGGCTCACAGAAGGCTCGTGCACCGATCCGTCGGGCGGCGGGAGCCAGGAGAGCCGACAACACGGGAAACGACTGCGGCAGTTGCAACGAGCCGCGCGCGACGGCAGACGAACAGGCACGCAATGCCATCGCTAAATCACTTTCCTCAGCAGCTTGGCGGGCGGTTCCCGGAGGCGAGCTTTGTCGGCTAAGCTCGCAGACTCTCGCGCGATGAAAAGGAGCCGCAGGGGCAAGATGCATGCGTAGGTTGAAGAGACGTCGACACGAGGATGCTGGCTGAGCCTTGACAGCTCCAAGTGAAGTGGCACAGCGTGGCGGGAGTTGGACAAGACGACGTGGTGCCGAAGAGGAAGAAGGAGCAGTAGCAGGAAGGAGGAGTGAGGAGAGTGGGTGGCGTAGCGTGCTGTGTGGCTGCGTGCTTACCTTACCACAGCCCTGCCTGATTGAGGCTGGTTGCCTGGCAGTGCCTGCCTAGGCACGTCATAGAGATGATGGACATTGATGCCATACTGGGTCCGGAGGACCCCGAACGACGCTGCGATGTGTGCTTTAACGTAAGCACAGGCACTCACTGCCATCTCCCCCCAGTCAAAACCAACCAACCCTCACACACAACACAATCCGGGGGGGACGAGAGAGATGCGCCGCTGACCACTGGCTGGCATGCATCTCTTTTCTTTGTCATCTCACTCCTTCCCCGTGTGTGTTCCCTGCATGTGCTGTGCTGCTTCTGCTTCGTTGATGCAGACCGAGAAGCCTGAGTTTTATCGGCTGCAGGGCGACCAGATGGTGGTTTGCCGCCGCTGCAAGCTGACCGTCCATCGACGGTGCTACGGCGTGGCCAGCAAGACGCCCTCAGACTCGTTTATCTGCGACTTCTGCCGTGTCTCGAACGTCGACCATCAGCAAGACGCCCAAAAACCCCGGCCGCCGTGCTACCTGTGCGGCAGCAGCGAGGGGGCGCTGAAGCAGGCCAACAACGGCGTGTGGGTGCATTTGCTGTGCGCCCTCTGCTTCCCCGACACGGCCTGGGTGAAAGATCTCCGTTCCATGACCAACATAGACATCATCGCCGAGCCGGGCCAGCAGGGGCCCGTTTACATGGAGGACAACAACACAGCCACCACTTCCCCGGCTGGTGGCAGCCGGCAGGACCAGGTCTGCCCCCTCACTCCCCGCCCCGATCCGGGCAGCAGCGTGTCGTGCCACATCTGCGGCAAGGCTGGCGGCCGCACCCTCCCCTGCTGTGAGGAGGACTGCGCCCGGCGGGCCCATGTGGTGTGTGCGGCTCGTGCGGCGGCCAAGTCGAGCAACCCGCAGCACTCGCGGCGGTTCAACCTGGCGATTCGCCAGCTGAAGCAGAAGGCCGAGCTGGACCAGATCGAGGAGCAGCAGCGGCTGGTGGCCAAGAGGAGTCCGCTCATGGAGGACAGCGACAGCGAAGACGAGAGCGAGGCCGACGGGGAGGAAGGGCAGGGCGGGAGGAATAAGAGAGATAAGAGAGAGAAGGAGGATGGCAAGGTGGTCAAGTCGCTGAGGGACCTGCACTGGGCGGTGCCCACTTACTGGTGCGACAAGCACGCCCCCCCGCCCCTCTACTGCATTTGCCGACAGCCTTACTCCGAGGACAAATTCATGATCGGATGCGACGTCTGCGGGTCGGCACGCACGGACACACACACATACATACCCCTCCC